GTTTTGAACAACGAAAAAAAAAAAAAAGCAAAATAGATTTTATGTCATAGATTTTACTTGACAGAAAAAGCAAAATAGTAATGAAAAGTTAAGGACCTTATGGTCATTATGCTATATCGATTATTTGAATTTACAATTAAAAAAATAAATAAATAAGTGAGTAAGCACAGAGAAAGAGAGAAAATTTAGAGAGAGAGAGAGAAACAAACAGAGAGAAGATTATCTCCACCTTCATCTTCTTCTTCTTCTGAAGAGACTGGTTTTTAGGTGTGTTTTCACATCTCTACAGTCTCTCTCTCTCTCTCTCTCAAACTCTCTTAAGCATGTTGAATCCATCCATGAAATATTTAGGTTGCGTTTGGTAGAGTTTTGTAAATGTGATTTGAGAGTATGAGTTGTATTTTGAGTTTGTGTGTTGTGGAATTATGATTTGAGTGTAGAAAATTTGTTTGGTAAAGAGTTTTGAAAATAGTTTTGGAAAAGAGGTTTGATTTGAGTGGGGAATTATTGATGTGACATTTGATATTTGATACAAAAATTTACAACTCATAACTAAACATACAACTCAAAATTATTTTAAAGCACATAAAAAATTCAGCAAATGTTTTTTTTGATTATATAAAAATTAACATACAAATTGCAAAAAAAAAAAAATACTATTCCGGTCAACCGTCAGGCAAAATTTTCAAAAAAAAAATCCTGAAAACAGTTGCTGAGACAGAGCGCTCTGCAGAGTTTTTGAAAGGTGATTACAAAACACCTACCAAACATCATATGTGAGTGATGCTGCTGATTCATGATTTCAGAACATAACCAAACACAATCTTAGTTTTTTTTTACATCATATTTTAATTAAAATGTTAAAAAATTATTAAAAAAATATGTTCCCAAACGAGACCAATTTATTATTTTAACAGTTATAGATGAAATTAAGCTAATAAACTTTAATTGTAATTTTTAAATATTTTAACAGTTATAGATGAAATTAAGCTAATAAACTTTAATTGTAATTTTTAAATATTATAGTCGTTTTAGTGCTTGTATCAACATTAAACTTATAAAACTAATAAAGATGTGGCCATTAATATCCATTCTCAAGTAATTGATTGGTATTACGTCACCTGTCCTAATGTCTCCTTTGTCTCAACTTATTATTTATAATGTGGTGTTTTCGGAAGATAGTAAATACTTGATTTTTTTAGGCTTTGTTTGGAAAATGGGTTGATTTTTTAGTTTTTTAATTTTTTTTGATTATTTTAGCCTGGGGCTAAAAAGTCTAGTTTGGAAAGGACTTTTGACTTTTTGACTTTTGTCTCAATTTTTAAATATTTTTTTGTTTTACTATAGAAGCATTAGATTGCTGAAGAACCACAGTCAATCACAGAGGAGAAAGTTCCCTAAGAAACCGGTTAAGGATTAGAGAATTATAGGAATACCTCCAAATTTGAACCAAGGGAAGTAATTGTTGGACCAGTGGCAGCCATTGCTGGTTCACAAAGTTTTATGGCTTTATGCGCATCTTTTAGGTGGCCCCACTTAGGTTGTCTAAGAAGTCCTACAACATTGAGAAAAATTTTTAAAAGCCTTTTATAGATGGAAGACAGACTTCAACTATTAAAAAAAATAAAAGAAGAAAAGCCTCAGTTATGGGTTGATATATGTATCTTTCAGATTATAAAATAACAACATTCTATCAACATCTAACACTTCTAGATTGCAGTATTTCATAAACTGGAGTATTAGTTTCGCTGCTTATGGGATGCAAGTCATTTATTATTGATAGAGAGAGAAAATCATACCACACTCATCAATTGGAGCATCATAATCATAACTTGTAGCAATGAATGGTCCACCAGTGGTTCGGCCAAAGTTAGTCCCACCATGGTACTGGTAAAGCAATCAAAACATATTTAATATATAAGCTTGCATTTTGATTAATTTAAACCAGATTCAAAGCAGACTGTGAATCATAAGTATCAGGCAATTGTCATAAAAACTTGTAACAAGTGTAATAACTTTCAAGAAAATAGAATTACCATATAATAATTTTGGAAGGTTCCCCCTCGCTGGAAGAATCGTGCTACAGCAAAAGCACTGTCTTCCACAGGTCTGTATGTCACAGCACCGCCAAACGAAAGAAACATAACATTCCAGATAGCCGTAATGGTTGAAAACATAGAAGCATTAAAAGAAAAGAAAGCTGAATGTTGATAAGATCAACTTCTGATCCAAACAACCAACATGCTGTGAGAGGCTAAGAATAGAGATTGGCAACTGTTCCATAAAATAGTAGACTCATGAGTGCACTAGTATTTGATAACTGGGTTCAACAATGGGTAGGGGATGGAAAGTTATAAATTGTTGAATTTCAATTTGGGAGGTCTACTTGTTTTTTTCTATGTTCAGCTGTACCAATTGAACCTTCACATCTATAATGACCAATTTCATACTTTCAAATTTGCTTCATAGTTGATATTCAACAGGAAATTGGTAAGAATGACCATGAGTTGTTTATATTGAAGCCATAAATGTCTATTTTGATGCAGCTTTACTAAAGTAAATCAAACTTCTATGATTGAAGAAATGAAAGGAAAGAGTAGTAAGTTCACTAATTTTGTTGTTTCATGTATCCCTTATACAGATAGGTCCTTATTGTCTTTGGATTATTGTAGTAAAAGAGTTCGGGTATACATAAATGTGTAGGTTTCAATAACACACTGGAAGCATTAAAATGAGTTGGTACATGTCCCTGAAATATTATTTTTAAAGCTACAAATTCTTATTTGGAATAATTCATTGTCAACTATGTTGGTAACTCAGTCACATTTTTCTGGTAAGTGGGATATCAAAAGTACCTGAGGCATGATATTGATGATTGACATCATGTAATTGGCATACTTGATGTGGATAAAAAAAGTTAACAGGCAATGTTTTTCATGCAATATTTCAGATACAAATGAGATTTTGAATATTTGGGATAATAAAATGGCAACACTACAAAATAAAGCAAGTACTTTGGGGCTAAGAAAAACATAACTGTATGTATATATATGTGTAAGGGGCAATATATATGATTGGAATATTTATCCGGAAACATCAACTATATTGGGTAATGATGTCTATTAATGAGCACGAGAATAGGAAATACAACTGTGTAAAATAAGAAGTGGCTTTTTGATGAAGTGTCGTGGGTGAACTCAGTCCCACTTAATTGGAATAAAACATAGCCCCAATAGGATGGACTAGTTGATCAGTTTCAGTATTATCTTTCCATATACTTGGGATGAGGAATGAATGAGGACTTATGAATTGTCTCTATCATGATCTTGTGAGCATCTTTATTACTATCATTATTATGATTATTATAATGATTGTTGTTGTTAAGATCATGTTCAAACCAATAAACAAAAATGTAAGCATTATTACTCCATTGTGGCATTTTATCAAACACCTAGCATACATAATGAATCCTCAAGCATGAGATTTTATTATGTACCATCAACAACAATCCATTCACTTCACTAATTATATTTGTTAAAATATGAATATCATAGATGATCAAAAATCAGAATACCAAACATGTTAATCAATCTATTTTCTAAATTATTTTCCCAAATCAAAATCATTCAAGATGCTCATGAAATCATTCAAAGTAGAGCAGTTTTGGAGATATTAGAAGCAATAAATGGAACAGTAAGTCTTAGGTTAACAATGAATTCCATTCACCCAAACTTGACCGAAGACAGTAAGGGAAACGGAGAAACAGAGACAGTAGAAGAAAGAGAGAAGGGTAGAGAGATAAACCGAGAGACAAGAAGAAAGAGAGGGATAGAGAAAGAGAGCAAACTGACCTTGAAATCACAGTGATGCTATAGCTTGATGTCGTCAATACGCCGCGGGGAGGATGAACTTTGATGCTTCGCCAAAGAAGTGTTGTGGAGTAGGGCACAAATTGTGAGTTGAACGGTTTATTTTTGGGCTGAAATTCTGATATGTTATTCACCCACAAAAAAAAAAAAAAAATTTGATTTCCTAGTAAATCAGAGTTGAATTTGGCGGGCATTTAATTTACTTGACTTTTTGTGACGGTTGAGTACAACCCGTCACTATAAAAAAAACAAATGACAACGTTTTAGGAAAAAAAATGCTACTAAAAATTTAATTTTTAGTTGTGGTCAATAACTGCTACAATAGCCCATCTATAGCAGCATTTTTCAGGCTGCTGCAATAAAAAACGCTGCTAAAATATGATTTTCTTGTAGTGACATATCTTACATAAACCCAAATTTCAATATAATAATATATTTTTTATGTGATGTGTGTGAGAATTGAAAATAATTTTGGTTATCTGATTCCTTACATTCTCCCACTTGGCACATATAACACACGTTGTCGATTGTCGAGTAACTAACAAACTGATTATGGCTATTAAATAAAGATACCCAAACCTTAGAATTATAATACACGAATCATGGCGGTTATACTTTATCAATTAAGTATTTCCCTTCATGTATTACATTGTATCACACTCTCAACTTTATGTGGTGTCATTCCTGTGAATAACTTCTAATAAGTTATTCTGGGTCCAATGATCCCTATGGATCAATAGTCCCAATGGACTACATAGCATCACAAATACTTTAGGTGCACAAAATGATGTTTTTCATTAATAATAATCAAAATGTCATGACAAAACAAAATAAAACAACAACTAGAAAAATTATTGAGCTAACCAATCAGTCTCATGCCCTCTACGTGTTTTGAAAACACCTTTACAGCAAGACCTTTGGTCATGGGATCTGCTGTAACGCCATACATTCGTGACATCCGTAAACATAAGAGAAATAAACATATTTCCATTCATCAGAGTATTTAATCCAAAGGTATTACATGTTGACAACAAAAGTAAATGTCCTACGGGCTTACAACTTTTCAAGCCAACACTTGGTTACAAAAAGGAGAGTACTAACTCAAAACACAAAATAAGGCCTTGGCTTGAATTACATGTAATACACAAAATATTACAAAAGTAAGCCTTCAGCTTCAAAAACCTCCCAAGCTAAGTCCTTGGAGGCTGCATATTACCTGCACCTGAAAATGATGTCCCATATAGGGTGAGCCAACGCCTAGTAGAGATATGTTAAACATAATATGAACAATGACTAAAACATGAGCAATCGATAAATGTTAACCCTAGTCAACCAACTTACAACACCATTCAAACCCATGACAATTATGTCCATGTTCATTTTACTTAACAATTTCGACTCATAAACATGGCTCAGAACCTGGCCAAACAATTTAAATGAGATTACATCTCTTATCTGGCCAGGTTCTGAGCCACATTTATGAAATGAGTTGATAAGTGAAGGAAAATAAAATGTAACATGGACACAAGTGTCATGGAATTGTAAAGTGATATAACTGGTTTGTGTGTGTTAACCATCTATCAAATGCTATTGTTTTAGTCATTGTTTATACTTGGTTTAGTATATCTCTATTGGGCTGTGACTCACCCTATATGGGTCATCATTTTCAGGTCTAGGTGATATGCCACCTCCAAAGACATAGCTTGGAAGGTTTTGAGAGTTGAAGACTCTTTTTGTGGTTTTTGTTATCTTTTGTTTTATTACATGTAAATTCGGGCTAAGGGCTTAATATGATATGAGTTAGTACTCTCTTTTGTGTAACCAAGTGTTGGCTTGGAAAGTTGTAAGCCGTTGGGCATTTACTTTTATTGTCAACATGTAATACATTTGTAAGGACTACTCTGATAAATGGAAAGTGTTTATTTCTCTTATATCAATGCTTGTCAAGAATGTGGGGTTTTATGTATTATTTTGAGGGCGTTACACTACTTTTCCCTCTTGTATCAACACACAACCCAAACCCTCTCCTGAGGCATCACAATAAACCGCATAACCCAAACTTCTCTCCGGGATAATCAAAACTGGAGCGGTGGTTAATCTATCCTTCAACTCTTAGAACGACTTTTCACAAGTCTCACTCCATACAAATTTGACACATTTCTGCGTCAATCTAGTCAACGGCGAAGCTACCCCGGAGAAGTCCTTACAAACCGGCGGTAGTACCCAGCTAATCCCAGAAAACTGCGGATCTCAAAAACACTCTTAGACTGTGCCTAATCCTGCACTGCCTCTATCTTGGATGTATCAACAAACACCGCTTCCCCGGAAACAATATGGCCTAAGAACTTAACCTCTCTTAGCCAAAGCTCACACTGCCCAAACTTAGCATATAGCTTATGGGCCCTAAGCAACTCAAGCACCACTCTCAAGTGTTCCTCGTGCTCCTCCTTTGAAGGTGAATAAATCAGAATGTCGTCTATGAAAATGACTACAAAACGATCTAAGAATTCTCGGAATATCCGATTCATCAAGTCCATAAACACTGCAGGTGCATTGGTGAGCCCAAAAGGCATCACCAGAAACTCATAGTGGCCATACCGCGTACGGAATGCCGTCTTTGGAATATCTTCCTCCCTGACCCTCAACTGGTGGTAACCTGATCTCAAATCTACCTTAGAGAAACAACGGGACCCCTTCAACTGGTCAAACAGATCATCTGTACGGGGTATAGGGTATTTATTCTTAACCGTAGCCCGATTCAATTTCCGGTAATCGATACAAAGTCTTAAGGCACCATCTTTCTTCTTAGCAAAGAGGGCCAGTGCTCCCCATGGCGAAGTACTAGGGTGAATAAAGCCCTTATCTAGCAACTCTTGGAGTTGAACTTTCAACTCACTCAACTCGGCTGGGCAAAACGATAAGGTGCCATGGAAATCAGCGCCGTGCCGGGCACTAAATCAATGGAGAACTCCACCTCTCGATGTGGTGGCAAACTAACAAGATCCTTGGGAAAGACGTCTAAGTATTCACAAACTACTCTCGGCAATACAATATGGGTCTCATCACACTCACTACTCATATAGCTAGCGAGAAGACAACAAAGCTCACTCCGCCCTCGCAGATCATACACCGGTGGCAACACACTACCAACCCGATCTCCCAAGAAATGGAAACAATCCTCGCTCAAGGTACATACAGTGACCCTCTGGCGGTAACAATCAATAACAGCCCAGTATGACAATAGCCAGTCCATATCCAAAATAACATTAAAACCCGACACAGCCATTACTATAAAAAAAAAATGGAAACCGGCGGTCGGCGACCTCTATATCATAGCCTATACACCCCTACTTTAAAATCAACTCACCCCCAACAGGTGACACAACACAAATAGGAGATGCTAACTGCGCTAACTCCAAACCCAAAACAGATGCAAATGTAGCAGATATAAAGGAATGGGATGCACTCGTATCAATCAACACATTGGCAACCGAGTTACAAAACAAAAAGGTACCTCTCACAATAGATGGAGCCGGTACAAGATCCTGCACGGTAACAGCATACATGCGCCCAGAAGGTTTCTGGTCTACCTGCTCACCTCTCAGAGCAAAAGACTGCTGCACAGACTGGGACGATGAAGCTCCTTGATTGGCCCTCGAGGCCTGAACAGACTGTACTGGCTGAAAACTCTGCGTCTGTCTCGAACCAGACACACCAGATGTGTCACTCAACTGCGGGCAATACCTCTTCAGGTGCTCCGTCTGACCACACTGGTAGCAAGAGAGCGGCTGGCCTCTGCCTTGACTCTGGCTCTGAGGTCGAGTCGAAGATGAAGCTGCTCTCTGTCCTTCTCCCATTTGCGGGCAAGCTGGAGACTTGTGGCCCAGCTGACCACATTTGTAACAGGTAAAGTCTCCATGACTGCCTCTCCCAGAACCTGTACTCGGCACTGGAAAGGTCGATATAACAAATGCACCTTGAGACTGTTGAGGATTAGAACCCCTCTGCCTCCGACCATCCCCCTGGCCATCCTAACTCCTCTTGGAGCCCCTCATCCTCTCCTCCTCCTCCTGCATCATAATCTAAATATGGGTCGCGGCATCCACAAGATGTCCATACTCCCGGGTCATGGATCCCCCAACCCTGGTCTTGAGCCCATGTCTCAACTTCCTCTCGAACTCAATACAACGGCGTTCCCCGAACGCCACAAGCTTAGGTGTAAACCTGGATAAACTGGTAAATGTGGCCTCAAACTCCGCCACTGGCATACTCAACTGCTTGAGTTGACAGAACTAGTCCCTCAACCTCTCTCTAACAGCTAGAGACAAAAACTTCTCCTGGAAAGCATCTACAAAGGCCTCCCATGTATCACCAACACGACCCCTCATGAACTTCCACCACTGACCCGCATCTCCCTTCAACTGGAAAGACGCCAAAGTCACCTTCAAAGCCCCGTCTTCGATGCCAAGCATCTCAAACGTCTTCGTCATTTGCTCAAGCCACTCATCAGCCTTAAGTGGCTCTTTCGAATCACCAACAAACTCGTCCGGATTAGACCGGAAGAACTCCCTCCTCAGAAACGTAGGCCCTGCCTTAACTACATGGGCCTGGGCTTGATTCTCAGCCCTAAGAATGCCCATAGATTCCCTCAAAGCTCCTGCCATCTCGCGGGCTAAGGCGTCCATGGCCTGCTGACCTACTGGCTCGGCCACATTGGCCTGACCAACACCCTCTTGCTGCGCCGGAATCTCATCCGGTATAGGCATCTCCTGCCTAGCACGCCTACCTCCGCGTCCTCGTCCTGACATCCTAATAAAGGTAACAGGAACATTAGCACATTTACAAATATGCCGAAGCTATAACATTCACATCCTAGTGCAATGGACAACTGTAATTCATTCCACGTAAGCACATAATCACATAAGCACTTACGAATTTCATTTTCGGATAATGACAGTCCCGAGGTGTTGCTAGAGTTCCAGTTAGAAATAGCATTGATCAAGTGCTTTTCCAATAGGACTCCCAAAAATCCATGGATCCAATCAACATCCTAGAAACTAAATCCCATACCCATATAGTCACATAAGCATGTTATCACATAAGCATATAACATTACA